TTAAGGAACTTTTGCCCATCCTGGTATAAACCATACTAAGAATACTTTCACAAACATCAGACAAACAGACTCTGGTCACAAATATGATGTGTGTTTTTGTTTTGTGTTGTGCTGTGTGAAGACTGGAAGTGCAAAGTGAATATTTCTGTTTCTGCATGTGTGGCTTTTGTGTGAACAGGGCTTTGAATTTTTGGTTAGTTTATGGAACTCGGCTTATTCAAATCTTTGGGCTGCTGTTTGAAAAATTAATGTAACTTGCCTGTAAGGAAAATCTCCCAAGATTACCTGCAATATATTTTGTTCTACGTTTGGTCAAAATGTTTTATATTTATCTGTAATTAATTTGGCCCTCTGAATTCTCACTCAAATTGGCTGAGTAACGTGATAGCACACTGTAACAATGTCATCCAAGGGAACTTGAGGGAGACAGTTCAGGTGAGGCAGTAGTAGTATCCTCGGTGGAAACACACTTTTATGAAATTTATTAAATTGTTTGTGTTGGAAGGTTTATATTCCTGTATATCTGGACGTGTGGTCTAGAGCACTTCAGTTGTTGAGAATGAATAGAAATAGTGACAAACATGAAATACTTTTGAGCAGGTACATTTTCACATTACATTTTACTGATGCATCATTGGTCCTCTTGTCTGTTTACAATAAGACCAGAACAAGAGTTTATGATGGTTCAGCTAGACCGCCAGTCCTTCAACCATCTTTTCAAAATATCTGCACCTTCCACCAGAAAAGTTTCTACACGTGCTATTGTATCTTCTTACTTAGTTTCTTTCTGTTGGGAGTGTGATTCCACGGGCACCAGATACCATCCACTGTTTAACAATTCATATGTTCCTTGACAGTGAATGTTGGCCGGCTACTTGACTGCAGAAGACATCAAATCCTAGCCAAATCTGTCCTTGTCAAGCATTGTACACATGTGCACCATCCAACAGTGGCTTCTGGATAGGGGACACTTAACCCAGGGATGCTGATTTGTATTATAGTGTCCTGGCTGGGATCAGCAAACTCAGCACAGGATTTCAAGCTGCTTATTTCTGTACATGGCAGTCCATTTAACCAGTACACTCAGAACTCGACTTTGAATTATAGTTGCGCATGATACAGATAAGACAGTACAAGGAAATGATTAGTTTGCTTAATTTGCTTATAAGCATCAGTCATGTAACATTCAACACAAATGTATTTATGTTCAATGTGTAAATGGTGGGGGGGAGGGGCAGGAATTCAGATTAATCTGAAAAATAAAAAAACATAAATTTAGAATAGCAAATGTCTGTCTGTAGGCTACCTGTAGCGGTCAAATTTTCAGGCAGCACAGTTAGCTGAATCTTCCCTGGAGTTGTATTATTCTTCAGATGAGATGTTAAACCAAGATCCCATCTGCCTGTTCAAGTGGATGTTAAAAATAATAACCGTTGCATGTGATAATAGCGCCTTACCATGCGCTGAGATTTGTCTTTAAGTGCTTCACAGAATATACTGTAAAGTGAATTAACTATTTGTGGGTAAAACATGGCAGCCAACTGCACACATTAATGTCCCACAAACTGTTGTGGGTTGAGTGACCAAATTATTTACTCATTTTTTAGAAGGGATTACCCCGAAAGCAATTTTCCAATCGATTAACAACTGGGTTCCTACCATTGCTAGGTAGCAGAGGCGTGTGGAGTAAGGAAACTTGCTTAACGTTTCACCCTCCTCGGGAATCAAACCCTGGTCTTATCGCTTGTGAAGCAAGTGCTCTAACCAATACGCAGCAGGACTTCACATTTGACTGACGTTTAAGCACGGAAGGAAGGATTTGAGTGCCTGTCAAGTTTCATTGAGCCTCATTTAGCAGCAACACAGGAGCTACAGTGTAGTTACCTGAATTTATGGCCTGTGTTGCTTTTACACTACATGCATCAGCCAGCAGCCTGTAATGAAAATCCACAGGGTTCTCTGGTCCCCTCCAAAGCCTGATCTCCTTTGCTTCAGTTTCCAGAATCGGTATTTCCCTTTACCTTTGTTTCCAGAATGAAAATGCTCAGGTATATTGAATCTGAAAAAGTAGACAAATCTATCTTGCAGAATATGAGCTTGGGCTGATTACTGGCAAATGAAGTTCAGTGTTGCAAATTAGCAATAACATAGAAGAAATACATTCCTTGAATAGTGTAGAATTTACTAAAAGAGGAAGTTGAAAGACTGTCACTTTTAAACCGTGACTCAAATTGTAAAGCCAAAATAAGATGTGCTGATGGAATTTTTACATATGTAGAATTACACTGCGATGGCTTGATTTTAATATGTGAGTTGTGCAATGATGGTAGATTTGTTGTGCATGCATGAAAATGTTTTTTAAAAAAATTGATGTGATCACGCCTAAGGAAATGCCCCTCCTTTCTTCTGCCCTAGAGGTTCGGCACCCAACCCCCCAGTTGCGGCCTTGAAGCACTCTGAGATTTTATCCTACATGAAGGGTGCATATAAATACAAGGTGTTGCAGCGAATCTGTAATGTAAAAGCAGTATGTCTGACAAACTTGCCCGGAGCTTGTCTAATTTGGACACCCTACCCATTAGGGTTTTGGCTTGCATGGTTAACAGGAGCTGAGTGGGAATCATCTCTGCCCCCTAAAAACAGTAATTAGGGTGTTCGTTTATTTATTCCTTGTCATATTCAAACATTTGTCAGGCTATCAAAGCAAACAGGATGTGGTGGCATTGCCAATCGGTTAAAATTTATTCGAGTCATGCAAAGATGTATGTGACATGTTCTGGTTGTTGCAGCAAAGTCCTACAAGGCAATGCAGCAGAAAGCAATGAGGCTCATCCCCATTTTTTGTGTGTGTGTATGGTGGGGGGATGTGCAACAGGTTGGGCAAGGTTTATTAAGAAGGATTTATTTCCACAAAAGATAGCAGTAAGGGTGTTTTAGACCAAATCAAAATGACATTCAAGGTAAATTAAAGTGGTTTTATATTTTCAATGAGTATTGTGCAACTAGCAGGAGTACAATGTTGTGAAAACTGGTGGCTGTTGTATTTGTCTGCAGATGGTCAGAGTAAAATGTGAAGCGCATTAAGACCTCTTGATGACATGATAAGGTGCTTATATTAAATGCAAATATTGCAATTATAAATGTATTGCAATTTACACATTGATTTGATAAGGATTTGGATTAGCTTTGAGAATGTTGGTAAGTACTGACTTAGTGTTGGACCAGAGCCACCTCTTCTATCTATCACTCGTAAACCACTGTCCAGAATCATTGATTTGATATTTTGCCCCAGTCAGCCTTAACCCCTTTTCATTAGATATCAGCCTGACTGCTGGTAGTGCTCTCATCTCAGTCAGAAGGTTCTGGGTTCAAGCCCCGAGACTGGCCCTTTGAACTCAGTTTAGACTGACAATCCAATGAAATGCTGGGGAGCGCAGCATTGTTGAGATCCAGTTTGCCTGTTCAGGTGGATGGTTGTAAAAGATATGTGGCACTATTTAAAAAGAGAGGTGTGTTTCTCCTTGTGTTCTGGCCAACAATCCTCCAAATAAATTGGTGTTTCAATTCCTGGCTGTTTGTTGGATATTGCTGTGCTCAAATTGGCTCTCGTGTTTGCCTACAAAATACAAAGTTGGTACATTTTACAGTAATAATAATAATACTTGCAATTGATATAGCGCTTTTCACATCTTCTAGACGTCTCAAAGCGCTTCACGGAATATGCTGTAAAGTGAATTGACCGTATATTTGTGGGCGAAATGCGGCAGCCAATTGCGCACAGCAGTGTCCCACAAACAGTCGTGGATTGAAAATGACCCAATTTCTTTTTTTTGTTTTGGAGGGATTATTATTAGGCGTGTGGAGTAAGGAAACTTGCTCAAGGTTTCGCCCTGACCTGCCTGGAATTGAACCCAGGTGTCTCGCTTGCAATGCGAGTGCTCTAACCACTGAGCTACAGGACTCCATGAAATCCAGTAAATCCTGTGAAACACTTTTAAGACCTAATGTGAAAGGCATCAAACGTCTCTGACAAAATGCTTTTAGGGATTAGAAACCATGGAGCTGGATTTCCTGTTTCATGCCCATGGTATTTTATGCTCCAAACTATTTGTCCAATTTCACAAATCTGCAACTGCATTTTTCAGGCAACTTTGGGCCTGAAATTGGCAAGTGAGTGAATCATCTAGTTATTTGCATTTATAGTTAGCTCATTGAGTCATCTTGATTGCAATAGAGCAAACATTTGTATTGCTGGACACTTGCCAGTATGAATTGTTATCTGGTTGTTGCCTCAGAAGCTTTCACTAAGTATGTCTACAATGATAGCTTTCCTCAAAGTATTTGACATTTTTATATTTTCACAGAAAAATACCTGGTTTAAGTGCCTTTTCTACCAGTTTTGAAGAGCAGCATTATGCTAGCAGACTGTTTTTGACTAATTGAGAGAAATCTCAAGTGTGTTCACATATACAAGAATCTTGCGCTGTCTACCTATCAAATATTGTTTTGGAAGTTTAGAAATACTTCCAAATACTCTTCTGTTATTGGAAATGAAATCTAATTGAAGAACTTTCTTAGGCAAATTTGTAAGGTTCCTGTTGAATTCTTCATGAAAATACTTAAGACCTGTAAGAAATAATACATTTTCTATGAGGACTTATACGTGGAATTGTTAAGTGCAGTGGCTGAAGGAAAATGTGGCAGACATCTTGGCACATAGCAAGGTCCCACAAACAGCCATTCTGGTAGATTGTTGGCCAGGATACATGTGAAGTTTTACACGTGAGGAGTCGCCACATGGTATTAAACACTTGATATTAAACACGTGAAGGAGTCCATGTATTTTTGGGTAGAGGAGAGAAATGTCGGGAGAGAAGAAAATCATATTCATTCAAGTACTTGTAATAACCAGGGCTGATTCACTGTAGTGATTGTTTCACTGCTTAACACCAAATTTGCTCCAATTATTTTATTCTTACAGTTGCACTTTTATTTTTCAGTGACTATTTATTCAAACTGCTCCTTATTGGCGACTCTGGTGTTGGGAAGTCTTGCCTCCTCCTTAGATTTGCAGTAAGTATAATTTTATTCATTGGGTCTTTGATTCTAGATTTGAGAATTTTTTTTAACAGCTGTTCAGTCATTCTAAAGACAAGATTTTTCACTCTTGTGCAATCTGAATAATTCTAAATCCACTACCAGAATAAGTGCAGTTGTATGAACCAAAAAGTGTGTTCTCAGTGTTAAATCACTCTTAATTGGAATGAAACATGAATTTCTATCCCACTATCTAGTTTTGTGGAGGATGTCAAGTCGGGAAGCCTTTGCTTTAATCAACTTTTCAGTACACCTTTTGATGGATGATCAATTAATTTAAAATGTCCATTTTAAAGTAGCAAGATGTACTTTTTGCTACAAAGTTGTGTTATTTTTAGAAATGTTCCTGAGCTCCTTCCAGGAAAAAACTAAAATGTTTGTAAATGTTGCCAAAAAAAACTCCAGGTTTGTACTAATGCAGCCTTTTTTTAAACTTTGGTCACTTTCTTACAAACACTAGGTATGTGGTGATGAAACCTAAAGTGATCATTATGTTTAAAGTCTTCAGTTTGTATGATTATTATCATTGTCAAGTACACTCTAAACACTGCCACTCTCGCTTTCGGTTTCTGTATGAATTTCATGTTTTTTTTAAAAATGAAACTATTACAGTTTGTGAGACATTGGAAGCATCTCTTATACAAGAATTTAGTTTTAGAAGGTTATCCTTTGAACAATTGACAAACTCTTCAATCTGTGATTTTTGTCCTGTTTTCTATAAGGTAACCTATATTTTGCACATTGTCTGGTTTGAGATCCATGGGTAAACTTTCTGAGGGGCGTATTTACAACAGGTTTTTGGCTAACATTCCAACTGAGTAAGAGAAAGGAGACTAAAACCATCACACATCAGAATTTGAGATGAACAGCCGTAAAACACCGATCTCAAGACAGTGTCTGAGAAAACGTGTTGATTGATCAATTTGAAATAAATTGAAAATCATAGTATTTGCTGAGAGTAGTTGAGCATTTTCTCAGTGCATTTCCTGGGTTTTGTTCTCGAATTGTGGAATCAGAATTTGTTCTCTGCTGGGTGCTGATTTGATCACAACAATTGATTGTAGTGATGCTGAAGTTTAGGGGATGTAACTCATCCAGAGTTGCCCCTCCCAGTTGCTCTTCGATGACCCTGGGTAAAGATCCCATATTATGTGAGAACGGAATTTGGCATTCCCCATTCCACTGTTCCTCCTGGTCAAACTTGCCAGCTGCCACTCGGTGTGTAAAGTCAGACATGAAATAAAAATGCTTCAAAGGAAATTGTCAAGTATTTTCATTCTGACGAGTTTTATCAAAGAATTCTACAAAACCGTAAACTTTCTAAAAACTAAATTTCAGTAGCTGCATCTTTTGTGACTTGGGTCATTGGGTCCCAACATGAGTTGCTGCCTTCAAAGGAGTAAATTAATGGAGCATTTTTGATGCAAGTCAAATGTAAATGACTTCTTGACTGGTGGAAATGAGTTGTTAGAAAAAATGTTGCCACCTCAGTTTCTGTACAATGCTTAATTGTGCAGAGCAAAAACCTCTTGGTTTCAGTGCTTCTGTGAGATGCAGAAGAATGTAGATTCGCACCTGTAATTATCTGCACAATGCCTTACCATCCCATCTGTAATTATCTACACAATTTATCTAAAGATGGCACCACAAGGAGGTGGAAGTACTTGCATATCATTCTTTATCTTCTCCCTTACCTCAGTCTTCCTGTCAGGAAACTGTGCAATGATATTTTTGACATTGACATTGTCATTTATGGAAATGTTGCTACCACCTAAATGACTCTTGAAATTGTATTTATGTTTAACTTCATCCTCTTTATCATCCTCTTTACCCTTTATGAATCTCTCCCCATATCAGTATGCCAATTTATTTATTGATTTCTTGTGTTTCACACTGATTTACAAAATTGAAATTGGATTATATTTAATCCTTGCATTTGATTTAGCAGCTTTATTCATACCATTGAAAGCTGTTCAACTCCTGGGAACAGACAAGACAGTTTAGTACTTTTCACTTGTGTACAACTGGAAATTTCTTTAGTCTACAGATCAAAAATGGAAATAAGTGAGATGGATCTTTTCTGGGATTTTCTCTGCAATGAATCGTGACCAATGAGTGTGGAAATAGTGCACAGGATTCTACTTGCAAAGAACAGGAGAGGATTTCTGAATTTGACTTGTTTTTTTGGTGGCACTTTGATCCCCAGTATTTGTTCCATCTAGGCATCTGTTCTTTATGATCAGATGGAATAAAGCAGAACAAAGAGGGGGTGTATCATTGACCACCGGTTGTGTACTAAATAAAGAAAACAACATCCTATTTGTTGTTGAAAATTTAATCTTAGAAACTTCCTTTTCCTTCCTTCTCTCACCCCCCCCCCATTCTAAGAAGAAACACTTTTACATTTAACATGTCAGAAAAATATAAGAGTATAGTTCACATCACTTTTGTCTTGTTGAAAGCAATTTGTCAGAAATCTGTCTAGCAGTTAAAAAATACATTTGGCTCAAATGTATGATAAGGCACATATTGAACGGCAGTCAGTTTATGTACAGGAAATTGATTTATGGGTTGAGAGTAATGTAAACGAATTGCATTAATATTGTAAATGCCTTTGAGTAATACTCACTCTTTCCCCATACACTTGGGAGGGAAGGGGATGAAGCTAGTCACCTCTTAACAGGTAGTCGAACTTCTGGCCACAGTGAGTGTGTAACTTGAAGAAGGGTTTTGTTCTGTCTTGCTTTATTAACCTATTTGGTTTGGAAGGTTTTAGGTATTTGTAATGAGCAGTAATGTGTTTACAACTTTTGACACTCCTCTGAAACAAATGGAAGATTGTTCACAGCAATCCTTTGCATTTCCACAAAATCACCACTGAACTGTGTGGAAGTGTTAGATAATTAGCTATCACCTAGGCCTCTGACTTTGAATTCCCATTGTTTAACATTGAAATGTTTATACACTGGGGAAATTTTTTTTTTGCAAGAGCCACAAGATGGAGCTCTTCACAGCAGCAAGCTGGTAATAATAATAATTCTTGCACTTGATATAGTGCCTTATCACGTCTTCGAGACTAACGAATAACAATGATTGCGACAATATCTTGCATTTATAACGCACCCTTCACATAGAGCATTAACTTGTTGTCTGGCCCAATCTATACAAAGTGCTCTGAGCACCAGACATTCTGCCTTTCTTCTTCTGGTTAGAACATTTCAAGCATGTGATGTAAGGCTATGATTTGAACCTATAACCAGAGAGCATTGGCATTTTCAGTGGGAGATTGCTATGTGACGTCTAAAGTTGACACTACAAGCATTTATCATAGCCTTCATGAAAATAGCTTGCGTTTTGAAATTTGTGAAGGATTATACAGCCTCTACTGATTGGTGGATTCAATTTATTTGTTATGTCCCTTTTACATCCAGACCCCATGCTGTAATCTTATGATGAATAAACTCGTACAATTTATTTTATCTGTTGGTTAATCTCCATGCTCTACTTACAGGATGATACATACACAGAAAGTTACATCAGTACAATTGGTGTGGACTTCAAAATCAGAACTATAGAGTTAGATGGCAAGACCATCAAACTTCAAATTGTAAGTATTTCTAATATGTTTGATGTAAAGCTTTAAAAATGTAAATGTATTCATTTCTAAATTGAACGATTTGAGTTGAGGAATATCTATTCTTTTTACTTTTATTTATTATGTTGCTCTGGAAGAGGAGAGCATCTGCCCTCACAGATTGATTTTAGTCCAAATTTGTTACTTTTGTGTTTAATGTTTTACTAGAGGAATGACTTGCTGTGACTTAATAATAAAAATAAGGCAGAGTCAAATGCAAGGATTATCACATCATTGAGATGTCTCAAAGCGCTGTATCACAGAATATATGTAAAGTGGATTAACTATTTTTATGGGAAAATTTTAGTGCTTAAATTGCTTTTTTCTCTTCTAGTGGGACACGGCAGGTCAGGAGAGGTTTCGAACCATCACATTCAGTTATTACAGAGGAGCACATGGCATCACCCTCCACGTCGGGAGTGTCATTTCCCGCTAACACCCAAAATTCCGAGTTCCAGGTAGTGCCCGGTGCGC